ATTGTTGAATATATATGTTACTAAATATAATTTTTTAATTAAATAATTATAAATATTATATCAATTTAAAAATTAATATATCTAATTTAAATAAATAAATTATTTAATTAAATTATTAAAAAAATACTATTCTCGATTTCTCAATGGGTGTTATAATATTTAATTGTGCCAATATACGAAATAAGATTGAAAAAGATGAACGTATCGTAGGCTTTTTTTTTTTTTTCCAAAGAAGGAAGGTTTTGGTTCTATTCAGGGACATTTGTCCGTCACCTAGAAGCTCGGATTTTATAAAATAAAAAACGGTGATAAATAACCTGGACGTGCTGAGATTTGATAGGTTGGCCTTTGGATGTAAATACTTGCAAAAGAAGGTTCCTTCTCTGTTTGGACATTGGAAAGAAAATCTAGCTATCGAGTGCGTCTGTTCTGTTCACAGACGTGTTAAGTCTGTCCACGTCTCTTTCTCCGCCCTTACAAATTAGGCAAAACTCCAAATCCACTTTTCAAATAGATAACTACCGGTAATATTTTTATTAAAAAATACTTATATAATAAATAAAATTTTAATATTATATATTAAAATATAAATAATTTATCTAAATTTATAATTAAAAAAATAATTTATCTTTATATTTTTTTTGAAAAACAAATTTGTCCCTACCCGTAAGTAGGGGTGGAATTGGGGATTTCACCTATAAATCACCACCCTATCCGCTCCGTTCCCTACGTTGTCCTAAAATCAGACAAGAGAAGCGTTTTTAGAGAAAAATTTTTGCTGTTTTCTGGAGAGAATGAACAGTCGAGGAGGATGCTGTATAGCAAGGTATGCCGGTGGTGGAGTTTACGACTTGTCCAAAGTCGACAGGGTAATGCTCCGGTTTCGACCGATCGCACCGAAACCAGTCCCCGGTGGAACCGTATCCCCCAAGGAGAAAAGTGAGCTCAACTCCAAAGCGGGAAGAGGGAAAAGAAGAAACTCCAACAGCAACAATAATAATAATAATAACAATAGTCCTAAGAAGTGCAATAGGAGAAGGAGAAGGGTTTCAAGTGAGGAAAAAGGGAAAAGTCTCGGCGCCAGAGATCAGTCAATGGTGACTCTGCCGCTCCTCCCGGAGATACCTGACCCGAAGGAAACGCCGTCAAGTGTCTCGCCCGAGAACCAACATAAGATTCCCACTTGGTTGAGCTTTCGTCAAGGGAATCACAATCAGATGTTGTTTGACGAGTCCACTGGTCGGACTCGGAAGGTGGTGGTGGCGCCAGAGGAGGTCAGGACGGTGAGGTCATACGTGACTGTTGAGTGTGTAATGGACACGTGGGTGGTCGGAGATGGGTTGGGGAGTAATGATGAGGAGAAAAAGGTAAATCTGGCAAGGGACACGTGTCCGGGGTTTATATCCGACGGGATGGGAAGGGTGACATGGATGAATGAGGCATACCGGAAAATGGTTGACGGAGAAGGAGCGGACATGATGGTTTGGCTGGTGATGAAGGAGAGGCCGATGCTCAAGTACCCGGCGTTCACGTGCAGGGTGAGGGTACAGTACACATGTGGGATGGTGAAGGGCTCACTGACCCTGCCCTGTGATGTGTGGAGGATGGACGGTGGCGGGTTTGCATGGAGGCTGGACATCAAGGCGGCTCTCTGCCTTGGTCGGTGAAACACATGGTAGAAGCCTGATGATTCTGATGATGATCTAGAGATTTAGCTAAAGTGTGTGTGGGTGATCAGCTCAGGGCTTTCCTTTTCTTGAACTGTGAATATTTTTTGGATTTGCTTTTGAACGTGTTTGTTGATAACTAGTTTGTTTGTTTGCTTTTTTTTTTTTTCTTTTTTCTTTTGACTTGACTTGACTTGGGTGTTTTGCATTGTATGTACTACGCTAGTGTTTTTGTTAACGCCATTCATATGTAAAAAAAATGAGAAAATTATAATGTAATTAACCATGATTTTGGGTTCGTTTTATTCAGAACGTCAATATATACTATATATATATATATATATGTATTTTTAAGTTACTATAGTAATTAGGGGATGGAAGAAGGTCAGTTGGTCTAGTAGCCCAACAGCTTAATATAAACTTTCTTCACCATAAGGGTTCGATCCCTTTTTCCACCCCTTCCTCTCGAACTACTTGCCCCTAAAAAAAAAACAAAAAAAAAAAGAAAAAAATGAAAAGAAGTAATTAGGGGAGGCTTAATTCA